CCCCAAAACCCCAAAACCCCAAAACCCCATATAAGCTATTTTATATTGCCAGCAATTTAAAATAAATGGACATCTCCATCAGAGCAATTAGATATTTATCAATAGTAATCCTTTATTGGGAAATCATCATGGGACAGCCCCATGATGAAGATGCGAGGAGAAACCTCCAAGATACCATGGATTTTGACTTTTCGAATGCAAATTTCACAGGAAAAATTTGGAAGGAAGGAAATATAACACTTACATTAACTGAAGAGACTATGCACGACAGTAACGGAGGATTTCTAAGAATAAATGAAATAGAAGGGGTTGAAGTAACAGGCACTATTCCTAAACACTCTACCAACACCTCTCTTCCGTATACTGTGAGTATGTGGGTTTACCTTGATCGAAGCGATAACTATGCAGATGAAACGCTATTCTGCCTACCTTTTTCAGGAGACTATACTTCTGTTCCTACTACTCCTCCTGGCTCTCCCGATCCTCCATTTTCTGTAGAGAACCTAACTTGTTGAGGAAGACTTTATAAGTACTATCAAAATTACACGATATTTTTTGAATGAAGGTCTGCTCATGGAGATAAATTTACTAGGAAAACAGTCCAGCCAATTGCACAATCCTCCTCCTGGCACTACTTCTCATTTAAATTTGCCCTCAAAGGGTCAGCTACAGTTTTTGAGCCGCTTTCTACTACAGATATTGAAGTCGAGTTTTGGGACGCGGATGGTAATCTAGCCACCGATTATATTAGCACTACCAATTCTTCATCAAACTTTACAGATAATTACTCTATTGGCTACACATTCAATGGCTCAGACCCTGTATATAAATTTTCAGGGTTGGTTTATAGGTTAAGAATCAGCAATACTATTGAGTCCCCAGAAAATAGAACTCGCTCTGAATACATAATTGACAAAAAGGATTTGTATTATTTGTACTTCGACTTCACCAACAGTTCTCAGAACGGGTTTTACAGAAACTCAATGAAGAAGTACTTCTTACGCCTAACCCTATAGCCGAGGCTTTATCAAAAAAGGAGGAAATATAGAGTAAGTTAACGTACCATTATGTGTTAAACTTTTAACAATAATTTTAAAACTTTCTAAAGCTACCATCTCCAATTTATGCTAGATTGTTTAGTAAGAAGCTCTAGACTGCAAAGCTTTAGTCAAGACTTTAACTCTCAAACTTGTTGCATTATAGTAAAATTACTGTGGAAATTAAAAATTTAGACTCCTTCTGTTGGAGACTTTTATGAATCATTATTAAAGTTATTTAAAACGACATTTAAAAGCTCAAGCATTGTTATTGATTGGGAAGGAGAAATATTTGAACGTTAATCAAACACACTACCACTCATTCTTTCTCAGACCTGCTCCATTCTTGCTTTCTCGCTAAAAAATTCACTTTGCAATTTTAAAAGCCATTTATGCAGGATGTAGGTACTATTAAAATCGGGTTGGCAAAACCCAAAATTACATATTATCGTCTTAACTTGTACAGTTTTAGTATTATTCGATATATGAAAAACTCCAGCAACTCAACTTATCCAACTCTGATGACGAATATGGGATGGATCACATATCCTTATACTTGTTACTATGAGACAGATCCCATTGAGTTTGATAGCTCAACAAAGTACTCCTTCGAAACAGACTTGTTTTGATATGAATATGACTGAAATATCTTCGTTTATTTCACGGGTAAGTTGGCCTATAACCTTCTTCGTTTTTCAGAATTCTCTTGTCCCAAAAACAGAAAATTATTTCAGTAGAGAAGCTTTAACCCTTAATTTTAGACATCTATGGAGCAGAGATTGGAAATGGTGTTTATACAAACGATGATTATACTGGGGTTTCCTATGGTAGGTAAAAACGTCATAGAAGACATTAAAATAAGGCTTCTCATGATTTGTTTCATTTATGAATGCATTCGCTCTAACTTTAATCCTTCAGTTTGGCCATTAAAAATGATAATAGACCTCGTGCCAATTTCTGACCCTTTTAAATGTAGAAAATTTATAGTACTACTAATTCAATATTTACAGCTTTCGAATTTCCAATCGAATATTTCTTCGAGAATTTTTATGAATGGTTGGAATTTTAGAATTTTCTTCAAACTTCATGATGATAAGTATTAAACCCTAGCAAAGGCGATTTCCTCTAAATCACTATTCTTATTGATTGACTTATCTCTGATTAATTCTAAAGTAAATTGATATAGAGTCACTCTCTTCTTACCGCTATTTATACAGAAATTCATGGGCTAAGCTTATAGCAACTTTCAGAGTTATAAGCTCAACAAGTCAACAGGTAAGCTTAAACATCTCTCAAAGTCTTATCCGAATCAATATAGATTTGCTATTATCTCAAGCAACTCTATCGCTCTTCTGATAATCCCTCAAATCCTATTAGATTCAGCTTTTGTCAGACAGGAGACCGTATTATCAATGAATCCAAAATTTTGATAAAAATTAGAGCAAGCAGAATGATTATTGGCAACTTTAAGTTTTTCAAGAATTTATTCTCTGGACAATCCTATGAACTTGAATATGGGAAGTACAGCGAGGTAGGAGACGTAAAATACAGCTTCTCACAGAATTACAGCTATTACCCGTCGGAATACTCCAGCTCCGATGTTTGTCGTAAGCAACCTTATCTCACCCATAGAGGATTATCTTACCCCAAATATTTACTGTCAGAAATACATCACAACCACTGAAACTCGTACATATAGGAGGTCTTACAACAGTTACTATAACCGTACCTATACCTACACATACCGAGGCTGCTCTGAAAATTACACCCTTTACAGAGACTTCTGCTACGAAACCTGAGGCGACGGCTATATCGCCTCGGACCCCCAGACAATGCCTTGTGATGACGGAAATTACTGGAGTGAAGATGGCTGATCTAGTGACTGAACTGTCGAGGAAGGCTACTCTTGAACTATAACTGAGCTTAACAAAAGTTATTGTATCAAAGACTGAGGCAGCGGGATCTTCGACCCGACCAAGCAGGAATGAAATGACGGCAACAATCTCAATGGTGATGGGTGAGATAGCAATTGAAAGAAAGAGGATAACTACACCTGCACAAATACAGTCGGAGATATTAGCTACTGAGAAAAGTCATGAGGAAATGGAGTCAGGGAGAATTTAGAAGAATGAGATGATAAGAATTCTATGAGCTATGATGGCTGTGATAGTAGTTGAAAATTAGAGTTTAACTATGAATGAAAGCCAGATGCATCAGGTGTTGATGTCTGACACTCGAAGTACTTCCCTCCCATAATTTTGAAGAATGCTCACAACTCTCAAATTCAAGAAATAACTTACACTTTTAATGACACTATGAAGAATGTTTCATTTACTGATGAAGATATTGGCTGAGAATTTTATGGGCCTTCTAGTGACTACACTGTTAGTTGTAATGCAGCCTTGGAATCAGATTCGAAGCTTAAAATCAAATATAGTATCTCTCCTCCGATTATTGGAGGTGTTGGAGAACTATTATTAGTCAAGTTCTATAAAGTAGAGTCTTTCAAAAGTGAAAACCTAATTCCAATCTCTACATCCTTTGAATACAAATACCAATTCACAACTGTAGAAGCTTCAGAGCAAGCACAAGCTACTGGTGAGGGAGCTTCTTACACTTTCGTCTTTTCATTTGGTGTTTCCTTGGTTGTAAGTGTTCTGACTGGAGGTTCTATGGAATTGATGTGGAGTCTTGCTAATACCCTCCAAATAGTCTTCATTCTTGGACTTTTGAATCTATATTACCCTCCGAACCTATCAGTTATATTCAGTTATCTAAAATATTCAAACTTTGACAACCCAGTGACTCAGGCTCTTTCTTCGTTTGCTTTCAAAAGCATTAACATCATCGACTCTCCCATCAGCGCAGAATTTGAGAAGCTTGGGTTCTCTTCAACTAACTTTCTGAAGAACTCTCTTGACAAAGTTTTCTTGCTGCTCTTACTAGGATTGTTTGTGTTGATTATCTACCTGATGTTTAGGTGTCTGAAGAAGAAATCAACATGGTTTGCTAAGAAGATTCAAAAACTCGATCTCGCTCTTCGCTATCAGTCATGAACAAGACTTATCGTAGAAATGTCAATGAACCTATCAGTCTCTGCATTCATCAATATCTTTTACGACAATCCCAATGGAACTATCGGCTTGTGCTCCTACATCTTAGCAGTATCTCTCCTAATATTAATGGCATTCATCGCTATCTACGTAACAATATTCCCTATTTACTTCTATATTGACATCAAAATTGTTCCACACCTTTTTGAAAGACATTCTTTCCTGTTTAAGGAATTTCAAGCTTCTAAGCCAGAGTGCCTTTATTATTACTCTTACTTCATCATCAGAAGAATATTGATGGCTGGTGTAATTGTCTGACTGAGAGGAAGGAACCTTATCCAGCTTATCTGAATGGTCATTCTGTTCTACTCAGTCTGAAAGTACCAGTTGGTCTACAGGCCTTTTAAGTGTCAGGTGACCAACTTCTTGAGCTGTGTGAATGAGACTTTCTTGCTGATGTTTTGTTTCATCCTATTTGCCTTTGAAAGTCCTGGAGACCCAACCACAATTCAGATGTTTGGATTTGTTGCCATTGGGTTCTTAGCTGTGTTCTTTATTCTGAACTGGGGAGTAATTTTTCCATTAAAAATAAAAGATTTTTGCTCATTTGTTCGAGAAAAATGAAGAAAGAAAACACTTGAAGAGAAAGAAGAAGAGCATAGAAAAAGGTTCGCCCAAAATCACCCTATGAAATTTGAAGAGGGCAAAGCAAACTCCTTCATTATCAACTCCAGAAAGCCCAAAATCTTCTCAGAATCCGAAAAACTCGAACTAGCTAGACAATACAACTCAATAACCGTCCAAAAATACCAGCCACCTCCTCCCCCCAATCAACCCCCCTCCCCCCATCCCGAACCCCCCATTTCCAACCAAACCCCCAGTCAGCGCCCACTAAAACCCACCCCACCACTCAAAATTTTCAAATAAATCCTTCTTCCATCTTCCCCACCCTTAATCATCCCTCAATTTCAATCCCTTCCCCCCAAATCGGGGTTTTGGGGTTTTGGGGTTTTGGGG